ATGACACAACAGAGAAACAGAAATATACAAGGAATTAACACAGAATTTCTCGGGCTCAGGAACGTGCCAGCCAACTACAAGGTCCTGTTCGTTCAAGGAGGAGGAACGGGTCAGTTTGCGGCCGTTCCTCTCAACCTGATGTCGAGAACGGGCAAGGCAGATTTACATGGTCACAGGTGCAGGGGTTTATTGGGGGGGGGGGATTACGTGGGTGATTTGCGATATTGGATAATTTAGGCGGTTATATCTGTCGTTTTTTATTTCTTTTTTTTTCTTTACTCTCCGTCTCTTTTTGACTTTCTCTCTCTGATTCACTATATTTGCTGTCTGCATCTGTTCCTCCCTTCCATTCCCTTCCCTTCTTCCTTGCTCTCACTTACCTTTCTCCTTTCCCTCCCTCCTTCCCTCTCCTTCCTTCTCCTCTCCCTTCCCCTCCTCCTCCTAACCTCTTTCCTTCCACCTCCCCCTCTCTTCCTTCCCTCCCTCCCCTTCCCACTTCCCTTTCTCATTCCTCCTCACCATTAACCCCCCCTCCCCCTGCCCCCAGGCTCGTGGTCCAGCAAGGCGGCCAAGGAAGCCAGCAAGTACGGCGCCGTGAACCTCGTGTTTCCCAAGCTGGAGAAGTACACGACCATCCCGGAGAAGTCGACCTGGAAACTCGACCCTGAGGCGGCCTACGTGTACTACTGCGCTAACGAGACTGTCGAAGGTAGTTGGGGAATGGCCTCGTTCTCGTGGTTTGGTTTCCTTTCAGTTGAAGTTTTGTTTTAATGGTGTTTTTTTCATATGAGATGTTCATGTTCTTAACAATGTTTTAAAGAAACAGGTAGTCGGGGATTTTTTTTCGTTGCTTGGTTTCTTTGATTTAATTTAAAAAAAATGATGGTTGCTGTTTTTTAGTTTTGTTTCTTTTATGTGTCACTTGGCTTTCATGTTCTCTTTATTAATGTTTTGATATAATATACTCTTCATTTCAGTCTTCCACACTCCATCAGTCTTCAATACAAAACATACCTCCTTCTCAGATACTTCTTACACACATTCCACTCGAAAATACCAATCTCACACACGCTTCATACAAAAATTACTTCGTTTTCATACACTCCATATACATTTTTTTCTTACATAGTCCATAGACACACAACCACACTTCGTTCTCACACTCCTTATGTGCCTTCCAACTCTCAGCACTCCCTCTCAGCCACAGTTCTACTCACTCCTTCATTATACTCCCTCCTCCCTATTCCCTCATCCTCACTCCCTCTCTACATTCCTTCCCCCTCACTCCCTCATCACACTCCCTCCTCCCCACCCTCATTCATCCCTCCTCTTCACTTCTCATTCCACCTCCTCTTCTCACTTCCTCCTCTCACTCCTCATTCTACCCCCTCTTCTCACTCCCTCATTCCACCCCTTCCTCCTCACTCCTCATTCTAACCCACGTCATTCTCCCGTCATTCCACCCTTCCTCCCCCTCACCTCATTACCATCCTCTTCTCACTTACCTTTAACCCTCCCTTCACCTCCCTCATTCCACCTCCTCTTCTCACTTCCTTATTCCACCCCTCCTCCTTACTACTCCTCAAAGTCCACCCCCATCTCCTCACTCCCTTCATATTCCACCCCTCCTCCCTCACTCCCCTCATATTCCAACCCCCTCCTCCATCCTCATATTCACCCCTCCTATATCTCAATATTCCACCCCCTCCTCCTCACTCCCTCATATTCCACCCCCTCCTCCTCACTCCCTCATATTCCAACTCCTCCCCCTCCTCCTCACTCCTCATATTCCACCCCACCTCGCTCCTCAACATCCCTCATATTCCACCCCCCTCCTCCTCACTCCCTCCTCTCCTGCCTCACTCCTCATATTCCACCCCTCCTCCTCAGCCCCCTCCTCCTCACTCCCTCATATTCCACCCCGTCCTCCTCACTCCTCATAATTCCACCCCCTCCTCCTCCTTCACTCCCTCAATGATTCCACCCCCCTCCTCACTCCCTCATATTCCACCCGCCTCCTCTCACTCCCTCATTCCACTCCCCATTCCACCTCATCCACTCTCATATCCACCCCTCCTCTCCTCACTCCCTCATATTCCACCCACTCCTCCTCACTCCCACATATTCCACCCCCCTCCTCACTCCTCATATTCCACCCACGTCCCCATCATATTCCACCTCCTCTCCTCACTCCTCATATCCTCCCAAACCCACCTCCTCACTCATCCCTCATATTCCACCCCTCCTCCTCACTCCCTCATATTCCACCCCCGCCTCCTACTCCCTCATATTCCACCCCTCCTCCTCACTCCCCTCATATTCCATCCCAACCTGCACTCCCTCATATTCCACCCCCTCCTCCTCACTCCTCATATTCCACCCCTCCTCATCCTCACTCCCTCAATATTCCACCCCCTCCTCCTCACTCCCTCATATTCCACCCCCTCCTCCTCACTGCCCATATTTCACCCCCTCCTCCCTCACTCCCTCATATTCCACCCCTCCTCCCTCACTCCCTCATATTCCTCTCACCTCATATTCCACCCCTCCTCCTCACTCCCTCATATTCCACCCCCTCCTCCATCCCTCATATTCCACCCCCTCCTCCTCACGTCCCTCATTTCCACTCCCTCATTCCACCCCTCCTCCTCACTCCCTCATATTCCACCCCCTCCTCCTCACCCCCTCATTCTCCCCCCAGGCGTCGAGTTCCAGTACGTGCCCGAAGTCCCCCAGGGGGTCCCTCTGGTGTGCGACATGTCCTCCAACTTCTTCTCGAGGCCTGTGGATGTGTCCAAGGTATTTTTCCCGCCATTTTTGCGTTTGAGTTTTCGTTTCCCGTTTTCTCTTTTGATTTTTTTTTCGCTTGTGGAGTAAGGATGATAAGGGACGGTGTCTGTTTTTTTCTCTCTCTCGGCAATACTGACAGTTCTGAGATTCTTGTGTGATATTTAAACCGGATGTGTTCGTATAAATAGATTTCATGACTCATCTCATTACCCCCCCCCAAAAAAAGACCAAATAAAGAAATATGAAAAATATATATGTTTGTATATTTGTAAGAATAATCCATGATTGGTGAATAAATTGATTAATAAAATTAAAACCCTTGGAATCATTGTTCAGTATAACACCGTAAGCATAACACCCGACCCTTTCCATTCATAATATTTATGCTCAGATTTTTAATATAATATTCATTGTCATTTTTATTCACGAGAGACATTTACTGATAGAGTTTTAACATTCTAAATACTTAAAAAGTTTAATCCCACAAGGTATTCGCCGCTATCGACTTTACCTGTTGACGCGGCAGACAATTTGAAATCAACCCCGACCCTTTCCAGTTCGGCGTGATCTACGGAGGCGCCCAGAAGAACATCGGCTGCTCTGGGGTCACCGTGGTCGTCGTGCGGGAGGACCTCCTGGGCTGCCCGCTCCCCGTCTGCCCCGCCGTCCTCGACTACGGAATCATGGCCAAGAACAAGTCCCTGTACAACACGCCGCCGACCTTCGCGTAAGGCTTGGAGAGAGGGAGAGAGAGGATAGCAGATGTATAGATAGAATCTCTCTCTTCTCTCTCTCTCTCCTCTCTCTCTCTCTCTCTCTCTCTCTTTCTCTCTCTCTCTCTCTCTCTCTCTCTCTCTCTCTCTCTCTCTCTCTTCTCTCTTCTCTCTCTCTCTCTCTCTCTCTCTCTCTCTCTCCTCTCTCTCTCTCTCTCTCTCTCTCTCTCTCTCTCTCTCTCTCTCTCTCTCTCTCTCTCTCTCTCTCCTCTCTCTCTCTTCTCTCTTCTCTCTCTCTCTCTCTCTCTCTCTCTCTCTCTCCTCTCTCTCTTTCTCTTCTCTCTCTCTCTCTCTCTCTCTCTCTCTCTCTCTCTCTCTCTCTCTCTCTCTCTCTCTCTCTCTCTCTCTCTCTCTCTCTCTCTCTCTCTCTCTCTCTCTCCTCTCTCTCTCTCTCTCCTCTCTCTCTCTCTCTTCTCTCTCTCTCTCTCTCTCTCTCTCTCTTCTTTCTCTCTCTCTCTCTCTTCTCCTCTCTCTCTCTCTCTCTCTCTCCTCTCTCTCTCTCTCTCTCTCTCTCTCTCTCCTCTCTCTCTCTCTCTCTCTCTCTCCCTCTCTCCCTCTCTCCCTCTCTCTCTCTCTCTCCCTCTCTCCCTCCCTCCCTCTCCCTCTCCCTCTCCCTCTCTCTCCCTCTCCCTCTCTCCCTCTCTCCCTCCTCTCCCTCCTCCCTCCTCCCCTCTCTCCCTCCTTCTCTCTCTCCTTTTCTTCCCCTTCTCCCTCCTCTCCTTCCTTCCTTCCCCTTCCCTTAGACAATATTCGTGTTTCTACTCCTGCTCTTCCTTTCTTTCTCATTTTACAGCAACCTTACCAAGCCGAGTGACGCTTCCAGTGAACCATACGTCAGCTCGAACGTCACTGAATATCCTCCTTAAGACGTTTGATGAAGATGATTTTATTTTACTTTGAATGCCTTGGGTGTGTGGTTTCCGTTCCCCTGATATAATGGGTTTATTACTTCCGCCCGTGGAAGAATTTGGTTAAGAAAGAAAGGATAGGTTCGTGTTTGAGTCATTTACGGATGAATCTAAGGAAAAAAAGAATACAAATGAAAACAACCCTGAAATAAAGAATTTCCTAGAACAGACTATAGCTGGGAAAATGGAGTGAGTAAAGATTAATTTCTAAAGGAAAGAGAAGAATATACAGCTAGTATGGCAGTCTAACTATATTAAGATTATTAATTAAAAATGGACAAGGATGCAAGAGTATAAAATGCGTGATATTCCTGAAATATACTTTATTCAAAGCCTAATATTTAATCCCCCGAAAAAAAAAGAAAAAACAGATCCCATCAACACCCCTTTTTCCTAATCCCTGACTCCTTTCTTCAGGATCCACGTGGTGGGCGAGGTCCTGGCGTGGGTGAAGAGGGAAGGCGGCCTGGAGGAGATGCAAAGACGCTCGATTGAGAAGAGCAAGATGCTGTATGGCGTTATCGACGAGAGCGCCGGCTTTTATAACAATCCTGTGGATGTGGCTGCCAGGTAGGTTTATTTTGTTCTTTTTTCGCTGTAGGGGAATGAAAGAGGTAAAGGAATCGGGGAGAATGTAGTGTGAAGGTGAGTTTTTATCCCTTCTGTTGGAGTGAGGTTTATGATGCATTATTAATTTTCTTTATTTCTGTCGTTAGGCAAAATCGAACGACAATTTCAAATGACTTTTATAGCTCCAGTTAAAGTACATATCAACATGCAATTAAATTTATGTGAATTCTGAATTCAAAATATCGTTGTTAGAAAATGGTGTTTAAATGAATTGAGAACAAATCTAGGGACAACTTGCACACGGTGAAATTTAAGTCCGTTTCGCATATGTGTTGCAGGTCCCGGATGAACGTCGTTTTCCGGGTGGGCGAAGGCGGGAAAGACGACCTCGAGGCGAACTTCATCTCACAGGCTGCTGCCCAAGGACTTCTTTCTCTCAAGGGACACAGGTATATCAAATCTCTTAACGTGTTAAATATATGTTGAATACACCATGCAATATATTTTTCTCGTGTATATAAGCTTATAATTATTTCGATAGGGTTGATGTAACTGGATAGAATTCGGTAATGATTTCTGTTTATATCCTTCGTCAGGTCGGTTGGTGGAATCCGCGCCTCGATTTACAATGCTATCACCAGCGATGACGTCAGACGCTTGTGCGAATTCATGAGGACTTTTCTCAAAGCAAACAAAGTGTGAGACGCAACTCTCGCCAAAAGAAATCACGATCTGTCCAGATTTTATTAAGATTTAGTTGTTGATGGATTAGATAATATTCGGTATAAGATTTTAAAAAAATAACGTGACCTGTGATGACATACTTCGACAGTAAAGAGGGACCACTTAACATGCCATCTCCAGTCTTCATTTCTTCACAAATATACATCGATGCATATTTATTGTATTCAGCGACATGTCTCATCAGTGTAAGTCAAGTGCAACATGAGGTTGAACCTTTCTCAACTGTCTAGGCGTTTCTTGTATAGAAGTACACATGGTGACGTTCGTTCTGCCAATGTTTATATGTTGTGGAAATGTTTATCCGTAAGCATATCAGACTAGGCAGACATTTGTCTTTTAAAAGGAACTAGCGACTTCTAGATATTGTTGATTAACGTTAACCAGACAATGATGCATTCCAGAGCAATCGCATATATCCACGAAATTTATATTCAGTATACGGCATGTTATACTACTGACTCCATATACAGATAGTAAAATGAACTGAAAGAACACGTATTTTTTTCAACCAAACCTTTAACGTGTACTTGCTATAAAATTTGTTAAAATCACCTTCAGTTTAAAGTAAACAATGGTAAAGTCAAGGAAAAAACCCTCGAAACCGGAAGAATTTCAAAATTTTATTACACAAAAAATACAGAGTGAGGTTTGTGAACGTGGAAATTACAGGATAATAAAAAAAAAACTGCCTGGAAATAAAGATGAGAACAAGAAGAACAAAAGAGACACGGAAAATGCCTGAAAATAATAATAACAAAACACAAAGAACGGAAAAAGAGAAGGACGCCGTTACTTCCACCGTGCGCCCCTAGCTCCGGTTCCCCTTACACACTACATCGTTCTGCGGAATGCGCTCGAACTTCGCCGCATTCACGCCCAGATTTCTGAGTTTGCTCCTGCACCGCAACATGAGTCTCGGCTGCGGGTGCCTCGTGCGGGTCAGCGCCCACGCCCAGTCCACCCGCAGCCCGGGGAAGGACGTTTGCATAAGGAGTAGAATATCAATTAATCTTAGTTTTTTAAAAGTAAGATTAATTAGGCCCTTAGAGGCACAAAGTCGAGCCCGGGCAAATGCCGTGTATGTAGTCTTCTCTCTCTGCTGTCCTTTCTGTATTGACAATATCAGTGTTTCACTCCTCCTCACTTTCTGAGCTGGTTGACAAATACATTGTTTTTATCAACAAGAACGCTATGGTTCTAAAACTAGCTTAACAAATCCCCGGGGATTAAATTAACCGGCGTTTTCAAAAATGCACACCCCAGAGAAATAGAGTTGGCCAGGAAGGCGGAAGGCTCTGTGGAGGTGTGAGTGTAATTTTCTTGCTGCTTTAAGCGGTATTGAACATAAGTTTACGACTACAGTGAGGAACAAAGTAGTGATGCAAATAGTCGCAAGGCCATGAAAAAATATAGAGAAAGATATTCTTATATACTACCGGTAGGAAGGGAATTGGAACAAAAAGCCTGGAATGTAATTCACGAGAGTGAATCCAACCATTATTAAGACAAATCATGGGATACCATGAATAGATATGATAAAAGATAAAACACATAAAGGCAATCAAAGAAAGAAAAATGAAGAGATAGGGAAGTAAATAAATTTACACGAAAAATAGACCCGAAAGTAGGGAGGAAACATAATTATAAATAAAGACCTAGGTGATATACACATGTAAGATACCACAAAAGCGAGGCTAATAGATTAGAAGAGATAGACGTCAACTGAATGGCCTAAACAATATGCCAAACTACAGTAAGAAACGACTCATATGAACATGCCTTTGGGAGAAACGTTCGTTATAATGGAACTTATTGAGTCATGGTAAGAGAGCTGTTTTGTTAGTAATTATTTCTGTATAGTTGTTAACGATTCACACAGGTTGCTGTAGAAAAGGCTATGAATGAGAAAGACTATCTTCACAGCGTATTAGATGTGTTTAACCAGTTTGGATTCCATCGTAATCAGAAATACATTAATGAAATACAGCCTATTTCTGATAAAGTAAAGTCAAATTCATATATTGATCTATGAAAAATGTCTCAATTATACTTTTTTCGCAATAGTTGACGCATTCTTACGATAATTTAAATCAATCATCCCACAGACAAGCTTAAGCCCGATTTGGTACGTCTGATGGAAATAAGATAGATTTATATGTCGAGAATGAGAGAATGTGCCAGGATCAAAAAAAAGCTCAACCACCAAGCAAAAACAAGTAGAAGTAATCCCGAGAGAGACAGCCGAGGGATGATTTTCCTCTATGACGCAGCTGACGTCTGCAAAAGCTACCTGATGACAGTCTCACAAACACCTTAGATGAAAACACTCCTCGAGCCATCAAGCGTGCCAGCAAGAGACGACAAATGAATAAGGACAGACAAAGAGAAGGCATAGACGGTATCCCCAGAGAGAGTGAAAACTATCGGATGCAAAGGAGCACCAATCGAGTGACCGCAGGTGAAGCGTCACCAACCCTATGGAATCCTTGAGAGAGACGGGATGCAAGTACTTGCCGTCCAGAAGAAGATCCAGCTGGGGAGAAGAGAGCCCGCCGGAGAGGAGAGAGACGATGAGAGAGATGGAGAACGCTTTAGCGTTCCAAGGAATTCAACCGACGCTGGGATGATGTCACTTCGACGGCGAAGGTGAACAAAAAGTCTTCGACGTAAAACACCTGACCAACCAGGTTGCCGACGAATCTGCGCCGGGAGATTCATTGGGATGTCTTTTTAATTAGGATGGTCGTTGATCTGAGAGTGAGAGTTTTTTAGAAGCTTTTCCTAACTATGTTAAAGCAAGGCTGAGTGAGCCAAACATGGTATGAGAGTGTGCGACTTCTCTTACTCTGGCAGAGAGGAGTCGAGATGAGAGGAAGAGAGAGAGAGAGGAGAGGAAGTTCGGGAGACGCGCTGAAGAGAGAGAGATCGAGAGAGAGACCGGCGAGAGAGAGACGAGAGAGATGAGAGAGAGAGGAGCGAAAGAGAGCGACGAGAGAGAGAGAGATCAGTGTGATAGAAATCTTCAGTGAGATCGAGAGGAGATGAGTGCGAAAGATATTTTGCTAAAGAACCAACCTGTGACGATAGACTAGAGACAAAATTAGAGTTAATGTAGACGTGTTTCTCAGAATGGCTTTAATAATGGTCTCAGCTCGTCTAGTCGTTGTCTAGGAGACCTACAGGACAAATAGATAGATAGCAGAGTGAGGTATGGGTAGGGTGTAAGGAAGGGAGGACATAGAGACTAAGCATACAGGGAAAACAAATGAGAAAGGAGAAAGTATGTGAGTATGTCTGTAAGTTAAAACGAGTACTTTAACAAGTATAGGTGAAACAGTAGTTAAACAATTTTATGAATAAATGGAAGGTTGAAATTTGTATTAGCAGTGAGAGTAATCGTCACCAGAGAACGGCAGGTAGGAAAAGCGTGTAGACAGAGGTGAGTAATAGAGTTGATGATATTATAGCAGTATATGGTGACGTTAAGACATTACCGTTATGGTGAATGGTGACAAGAGTAAGATGTAGATATTGCGTAGAGTGATAGTGAATGAGAGATGATGTATATAGTGTAGTAGTAATTAAGTGATATATTAGAGATAAGAACATAACATAATATAATAGAATGAATAGGTTAGGGCAAAGATAAATGATGTACATGAAAAGAGGTTGAGAGACGGTAGTTTATATACTATTATATTTAGGTGATAGAGAGATATATAGAGTGATAAGAGATAAGTAATGATTAGAGATGGAGAGATAATATATAATATATAGGAATAGATATAGCTATATATAAATAGATATAAGATATAGATTATGGTATCCCGTATAATGTAGAAGAATGTATATGTATATATTTATTAATATATATATATATATATATATATATTTGTGTGTGTTGTGTGTGTGTGTGTGTGTGTGTGTGCTTGTTAGAGAAGGAGGAGATTGAGAGAAGAGAGCTGAGAAGAGAGAGCACGAGATGCCGAGGATGAGAAAGGAGAGATCGAGGCATGAAACAATCAGGTTCACCCCAGTCAACCGTTTTCCCTGTGTGTGTTTAAGTGCGAGTGTGTGTGGTCCGACTGCACACGCCGAACGGAAGCGATCCGGACGCACAGTGTGGGTGTGCAAGTGTGTGTGTGCATCTCTCTCCTCTTCCTCTCTCCTCCGATTTCTCCCTACTCTCGTCCTGCTCTCCTGCTACTCGTCCTCTCTCTGCTCTCTCCTCTTCTCTCGATCCGCCTCGATCGCAGAGCATCGGCGCCGAGGAGAAAAAGGGCGGAAAGAGATCGAGAGAAGAGATGAGAGAGAGAGAGATGATTGACGATAGAGTATGAACGAGATGATGAAACCGCCGGAGAGATACAGAGCGAGAGAGACGACCTAGATCTCTTGAGATGAGTGCTACGATGGATCACCCCTCTTCCGCCCTCTCGAGATCCCTCCCCTCCTCGCCCGGCGACGCAAGACGACGGCGCCCTACTGCGGGCAGTCGGTCAGATCGTACGTCGTGCTTCGTATCGACTGAGGCAGACGAAGGAAAGACGAGGAAAGCACGATGACTACTGGGATAAGATAGATAGATCAGATTCTGCACCCAGAGGATCTATCTTTAGCATAGACGGATCAGCTCCACTTTGAAGAGACTAGAGCCCCATATGACCAGAAATAGAGACTCGTTCGAGAGAGCGGCGTGAGCGGTGGTAAGGACAAGCGGGCCATCTAAACCAGAGAAACACATGAAAAGACGAGAGTGAGAGAGAGCAGAGGCCATTTAGGCCCCCTCTTCCCGAGACGAGAGAGCATCTGAGAGAATGACGAGACGCGAAGGAATGAGAGAGCGAGAAGAAGACGAGTCTCTCTCTCTCTCTCGACGTCGATCTCTGACTCGTCTAGCATCGGCCAACTCCGACGAGTCTCCCTTGTCTATCCCGGATGTCCCTCGACTCCCTCTCGCACTCCTCCCTCTCCCTCTCTACCGCTGCTCCCGGATTCTCCCGCTCATGCTCTAGCGTCTCATCTCCCTCATACTCTCTCGACCGTCATCTCTCTCCCTCTCTCTTCATCCGCTCCTCTACCTCTCCCTCTCTCTCTCCCTCCTCTCCTCCCGTTCTCTCTTCGCCTCTCTCGTTCCCTTTTCTCTAGCTCCCATTTACATACTCTCCGCTTTCTCATTGACTCGCCTCTCTCTCTCAAACTCTCTCTTCTGCCCTTATCTACTCTCCCGATCTCTGAGCAGTCTCCCTTTCTCCTAGACCCCTCTCCCTTTTCTCGTACTTCCCCTCTCGCGACGATTTCTCTCTCCCCTCTCGAGATCACGTCCCTTCAATGCTCTGCTACTCTCTCTCATCAGAGATGAGACTGCATCGATTCCTCTCTCGATAATAGTAGATAATAAGATATATACTATAGGATAGATATATAAGTATATATAGAGAGATAAGATATATAGATAATATATATATTATGTGGAAAGATGTGTGTGTGTG